CAATTTCTGGCCATTTTGCATTACAGGTGAATGTGATGAACAAATCTAGACAGCTATGGTACCGATAGATTGTCAATGCATCTTGAAAATTTTTAAATAGATACCAAGGACTTCTAGTAAATATTGCAGGCAAGATTACACATTTTCCAATTTTTTGTCTTTGTTTATAACCTCTTGGCATAACGTCTTTCAATCCTTTGTAAGGTTCAAAGCTCAGATTTTTTTGATTTTTATGTACTGCAATCTCATTTCTTCCACTGTAAAGAATTAATCAACAACAAATTGTTGGATTAATTTGCCACTTTGTAACAATGTACTCCGTGTAGGATTACACTGTTGAACAACATAAGCGTAATATTCTCTCATTGAAATGTTCTTTCTTTTTAGCCATTGTTCTACTAGGGAGTCAATATAATTTATGTCTAGCATGTATCTATCCACTTTATAGGGAAAGAATAACAGATATTGTATAGCCCTGAACGAAGGGTGAAGCTTGCTTTTTCTTTTTAGTTTTTCAGCTTTATGTTCAGCAATAATATCACTATTCTTATCAAATTCACCTTAATCCTTAACAATCATCCAGCAACTTCTGATCTAGTAAGAGTAACGTAAGTTCTCTTCTCACTGTCCTAACTCTAAACAATCTTAATCAAACTGGGATATGATCTGACACTTTGAACCTATCTTTTGCTGTCTTATAAACTTTAAATATTTCGTTATTTTCATTAGACATTTTAATTAGCCCTTCTATTATAAATCTATCTACGACATTATTGGTACTTTGATGTGAACAAAATTGAGATTTTATTTGAAGTTTCATTCTTAGTATCATAAATAGAGAGTTGGGCAAACTTAGGTTTATGTCTTACCATAGGAAGCAAAAAACCAATTTGATGATGATTTTGACCATTTATTTTAATGATGTATAGACCTATTGTATTTTTTATACTATTATCTATTTTTTCTCCAATTGATGTAAATGCTGATGTTGTCGCTAAATTTTGTACTCTTATTATCTCCTTCATAATCTAATAAACAATGTAAAAATTCAAGTGTAGGCCTAAATGATAATAATCGGATTGTATCTTGTTGGTAGCACAATGTAAATGTACAATACCTTATACCTTGACTTGTTTTAACTTTTTCTTTATACCACATAAGAGCATTACAAAATGGATAGAGCAAGTTTCATCCTCCAAAGTTTAATATTGTGTTGCATCTTCCTATTATGTAAAAACAAAAAATAAAACAATGTCATCGTTAGAAGCATTATAACATTATGTCTTTTAAAAAAAAAATTGTTGCAAATAGAACGTAACTTATTTTGATGGCCATTGTTCTTTAACAAAACTGATATATCAATGCTTGTCTTTCAAAATCAAAATTTGCAACTCCAAGAATAGCTTAATGTTTTTGAAAATAACAAAAACAATGCATAGGTAAATGTACATTTTAACTGCAAATTAGTTTACAATAATGAAATAAATATGTAGTAAACGTAAAAGATTGGCAAATATTGAGACATACTTTGTACTTCATTTCTTCCTTCTGTACTACTGGTTGAAGGAATAGACTATATAAACCAACAATCAATAACGAGTACATCATAAAGGCTTCGTGCACTCATTCTTCCTTGTGTACTACTAGTTGAAGGGACATAATGTGTAAAACAAAAATCCATAACAAGTACATTAATTAGGTTTCTTTCAATAATAAAATTACCCTCAACAGTTGCATTGCTTATAGTTTGAATAATATTGTTATTCGTTAGTATAGGACTTTGTTCCATAGAAAACAACAAAGATTGATTGTCAACAATAGCTAGATCATAAAGTATATTGTTAAAATCACTACTACAGTTTAAACAATGATTATTTTGTTCATGTTTTATTCTTTTTCTCGGATCTTCGTTTGACATTATATCTATGTAATATGTACAAATGTAACACATTAATTCCTATGAAAGTGCCATACATAATTGAAAATTAAACAATTAATTAATTTAATTTTAAAATAAAAAATAAAATTGCTTATTGAACCAACAATAATATACAATTCTACGATTACAATAGCTATAAAGTTAAGCTTTTAAAATATAAACCGTATCTCTTTGATATAAATATACATTAGTTATTCTACTTTTTTGCTAGTTATGGTTGGTATGCAAGTGTGTTTCAAATGTGAGAATCTTATTCATAGGATCTCTTTTACTTTTGATAGAGATGGCATGGATTTAGTTAAGTTGTTATGTTTATATTGCTTATTTATTGTTCCCTATCTCAATGCAGTTGCTTACTCTTAATAAGAAAATATATATAGATCCTTGTACACCTAAAGGTTACTTGCTTGAGTCATTGAAGCTTTCGCTAGTTACTATGATTAAAAAAGGTAAATATACTTCTAAACTTCAAGTTAGGGGTAGCTTCTTAGAGTGCAGATCTATTGTACTAATGCTATTATAGAAAGGAAAAGGTTGGAAACTCTCTTTGAACCACCACATTTATTACATTATGCTGTGCAATTAGATAACAGTTATTATTTATTCTAAGATGGAAATAAATGTTCCTATGATTGCTGTTATTTGAGGTTAGTTTTCATGCCTAAGATTTTAAGGAAATTTTTACTATTAAATCTCTTTTATCCTTTTGTTGACTGGTTGGAGTTTTCCAATAACAATGAAACATTAATGCAATGACCCATTTCATCCAACCCAACCACAAATATAAATATGAACTCCAAAATTCAACTTTGAAATAATTCCTTAATTAGCTCATTGGATCATTCAGTATCAAACTAAAAATAGATATAATATCAAATTACACATTGAAACAAAAAAAGAAGAAGATAACAACCGCACCTTTATATCGCAAGTATCATAAAAAACAATACCAAAAAACAAAATTCAGCAACAAAAGAAAAAATCAATCAATTAAAAAAAAGTCTATTGGATTCAAAAATTAAGTAATTAATGCATTAGTAAGATACCCACTAAGTTAAATTACAAAATTTTGATTTATTTTGGTTTAATTTTTTCTATATAGCTTCATTGCATGTAAATCCAAAAACTGACATCTCTCCAGAAATTATAGGTACGAATAAGACCTACTAGCAAGCAATCAATCATAATATTACAAAAAATATTATAAAAAATGACCTTCAGCATTTTACTTTGTTCATCCTTAGCTCCACAAAATTCCCACAAAACCAACACTTATGTTCATAATTTTATAGGGACTAAATATATCAGATGGACTTAATTAAGATGAAACAAAATAGTAAAGAAATAAAATAAAATTCCTTTCCTTTGCATCAAATTCACCCATACGCTCAATTCATGATTATATTAACTACAAAGTTTCAAAGTTAATTTTTATTTAGTTCTAATAAGTAAAAATAAATAAACAAATAAAGGAAAAACAACTGATTTCCTTACATAACAACTTAAATGTTTCTTGTAAAATTATTTTACAACTACATGGGAAAAGAATAAGAGAAAAATGGCTAAATCAACCCTACCTACATGTCATTAACAAAATCTCCAACAAAACGATAGGGTGCATAAACAATGAGATCAAATAAAAAAAACAAAACAATAGATCAAGAAAAAATTGAAAAAAAAAATTTGATTGAGTCAATATTGACGTAATAAAAGATCTTTTTATTTTATTTATGATTTGAATCCGATGATTGAAATGTATGTCCTGATTATAAAGCTTATTCATTAGAGCAAAAATCACAAGTAAGACAAATCTCAAACCATTAGTGAAATGCAAGAGAATACATATATATAAGAGACAACTCATCCTGTGGCTATGTTATAAATAAGAAGAAAATATCAATTAATACCTTGACAGTGCAAAAAAAACCCAGTAATTATGGTGGTGGGATATTGGAGGAATAATTGAAATCCTCACTCGGTGGCTTCGTAGTAGTAGTGGCAGATACAGTTGGGAGGCTAAACGACATTGTGGCAATGCTTGAGGAATGGTGTTTCATAACGAAATGACTCAAAGTGGAGGTTTTTCTAGGTTTTAAATAAAACCTAGAATCTAGGCGAGAAAGCTTTACAGAAATCGAAAGATTAGATGATCAATAGAAGCAAAGATGTGATGCTGTTGGAAGAAAACAAATAAGAAGAATAAAATGAAAATAGCAAAAACCAAGGCTAAAGGAGGAATCAATTCAACTTCAACGACATAGTCTAGGAAATAAGGAAGGGTAAAAAAAAAACTCTTTAAATGTAAAAAACAATCCCATTTTGATATAAAATGTAAAAAAAAAAAAAATTAATTCAATTGAGGATGATAAGTGCTAATCAATTAACTTAATTAGTTATATTATTTTTATATATATTACAGATTATAGATATATTAAGTTAAAAATGTGAATTCGTAATCTAAGATTTAATTGGGTTGAAGTTGAACTTAAATCACAATATCTACCTCTAAACCCAAGCTGGGATGAGATGGACTAGTCGGCCCATACATCTCTGGCTTCCTTAATTTAGATTTTTCTCTTTTGTTTTGGCAATACTTATATTACACGACTTCGTGACTGCCGAGAAAAAACATTTGCGTAACAGTCATAAACAAGGATACGGATACGCCATAAATACTTAATCCAGAATAAATAGAAACGTAACGATCTTCGCTATGAACGGTGTCTGCCCTGTTGTTTCCTACAGGGAAAAAAGTCAAGGGAGACCGAATATTCCACGGAACCTTTTTCTTAGTGAAAGAAAATTCCTTCTTCCAAGGAAAAAACTGCTAAGTACAATTGTACAAACAAGAGACTCCTTCTTTTGCCAATCCAAAAATACAGAAACCTCATTGAAAGTCTTGTGTTATAAAACACACGTGTTCTTACCCAATGCTTCCACCTTCCAGCCAAACGAGTTGTGTCAGCAAACCGAAGCACCCAAAGGTTGGAAAAATTTAAAAAAAAAAGAAATTGTTTATTTTATTTTATTTTATTCTGGCTAAAAAAGGGGAAAGAAATATTAAATAGTGCATTTTTTGTCATCCACATTCGACGCCTCTTTGTTAGGGCAAGCATTTCCCAAAGAGGGTCCTCTCTCTCTCCGGAATCAGAAGAATAATTCCTTGGCATCTCAAAACTCTTCCTTTAATGGTTTTTTGTCTTTCTACAAAAGTAAAATTTCTTTGTTAGGTTAGGCTAGCTTAGGTTAGGTTAGGTTAGGGCTGTAAATTAAAGCAACACATTCAGATTTTTAGTTTAGTTCGGAAGGAAAAAAAAAAAAAACAAAGTTGAAATCAAAACCATGACTTCAGTCATCAAGATCGACGATGAGCAAATAGTCAACGCTCTTCCTAATCTCTCCCTTCAAGATCAGGTACTCTTTCTTCTTCTATCTTTCTTTCTTTTCTTTTTCTTTTATATATATATATATATATTTTTTGTTTGAATTTTTTTAGTTTTTCGAACCTGATTTATTTGATTCTTTCCTCTTGAATAATTATTTTTTAAATTTTTATATGTTGTTTGCTTGCTGAGAAAATTTAAAAGAAAGGAAAGAAAAGCAGAAATGGTTGATTAATAGTTATGCACTGTGTAGTAATTTTGAATTCTTTTTTTTTCTGTTAATTTGTTCTGTTGTCTTGCTAACGAAACATTTATCATTTTTTTTATAGATTTTTTTTTGGTAATTTAAGGGAGGTTTCTGTGTCAGAACTCAATTTTATTGAATTTGTTGTTTGGGTTATTCTGTTTTTGTATAGAAGGAAATGAAGAATAAAGGAGCTGTTGGTGAGGAGGGTTGCGAAAATCATAGTGGAATATGCGCGATTTGTTTAGATAAGATAGTGCTGCAGGAAACTGCTCTTGTAAAAGGTTGCGAGCATGCTTACTGGTTTGTCTAAACAACCTCTTGCCACTTTTATTTATTATGGTTGTTGTGGGAGCTTCCTTGTTTATGTTCTGTTGTCATACTTAAATTGCAATCTTAAGCCGTTTAGATTTCACAAGATATATTGGAGTTGCATCTGTCTTTGTTGTGCGCTGCTCTCTTTTCATGCTAGTCTCTCTAGGGTTTGTTTTTTTGTTACACCATAAATTTTCCGGAGGGTTTACACTGGTCTATAGAATTGCGTTTGTCGGATGTGACTATAAATTTATACTAGGCCTGTTCCTTTTCTTTGTAGAATTTACTCGATGGTATTGGTGATTGTCATTATCTTCATGTTCTCTAGGCTGTGTACTGAATCTTAAGCAGAGCATAGGGTTACAAGAGTAGTTGGGTCTTGTTTTGTCATTTGAGAAAAGGAGAAGAATGAGTGAAGCTTGTAATTGCAGGGATGTTAGATATCATGGCATGGTTCACTAATGCTTATGCTGTTTTGGCCTCACCCTAATGGGAATTGTAGATGCCTCAAATTTGGTGGATTCCTTGTTCTGTTCTTTTTGAAACTGTTTAAGATGTGCCTTGAATGTTAATTTGGTGAGGGATGATACTCTGGGCACAGCTATTGAAGTTAACATGTCTCCTCTGTTGTGTTACATTTGGGTACACGATGTGTGACAAATATAAGACAAATGTTACAATAGAGGTGATATGTTAACTTCAAATTTGTGTCCTTGGTATCATACTGATAACAATAAAAATAGTTGCTTGATGGAAGTTAGAAATTCTATGCATTGAATGCTTGAACATATGTGTACTACAACTATCATTTCCCCTGAGACACATGACATTATCTTTGTTTTAAAGTTCTTAAATTGTGTAGGATTATTGCATAGCTTGTTAGTGACGCTTGTACCTTATAAAAGGTTCAGACTTTGTAGAAGGGATTTGCCAAGGATATTTCAAGAATGCATGTTTTAAATTTTTATCATCTTTGATGTATTTATTATGTCTTTTGCATCATGCTTACTTGTTTTTACTTTTCAATTGTTTCTTTTGTTTTAAGATTTTGTGATGGCTTGCATGCTATGAGGCCTACTCTGTGCCTTACAGTGGGAGTTTTTTGTGGGAGTTAATTGAAAAACTCATTGCTATACTGCCTTTTGAAACCATGATTTATGTTGCCAAAATTTAATAGAAGAGGTATGCTATTCATAGTCTGTCATGTTCATGGTACTAGATCACTAGGGAACTCATTGAATGTTTTAGAAGTCTTTTATTGTTATATCTCTAAATGCATGATTTACTCTCTGTGCTGTCTATGAACTGCAAAGAGTTGTCTGGTTCTGTTGAACTTTTTGTTAATTTTGGATTCAAGACTTAAGAGCTAGTGTTTGCGGTGGTTTCGTTTTTAAAATTGACAGAGCCATTCTAAGTTTGAGATGCATAGTTAATACACACTTTGAGCCATTGTTCCATGGACTTAGATATTTGCTGTCCAACCACTTGTATGATTTCTACTCTCAACATTATTTGATGTATCGAGAGGATTCCATCTGTCTCCCTTTCTCTCTACAGACTAATAAAACAGCCAAATTACATAAATTAAGATTGTTTTAAAACAGTGACTATGCATGTCTGGCATTGGAGTTTGTAACTCCCATCCAATGATGTCATAATCTGTAAACCAGACAATCCATCATGGCTGCTACATTAACTCTTGTTAAATCATTCTGAATTTCACTAGAGGTTAAATTCCAGGAAAACAATCTGAAAGAGAATAAAAAAGAAGGTTCTACTTGGTGATATTGGGTAATGGAACATGGTCTCTCGTTTGGAGGGGTAAAAAGCCAATTTTACATTCTGTTGATTCTACTGTGGACAATTATGTTGTTATGATGAATTATTGCAGTCTTTGATTTTATTCAGAGATTATCATAATGGAGGTTTTCTTGAGAGTTTAAATCCATAATCTTACTGCCTGTTACTTTTGTGTTAAACCATTTGATTATAATCATCCACAATGTTCTTTGATTCTATATTTGATATAAAGAGCTTTAAGCATAGAAGCTGACTAAAGAATAGATTAATTACTATTCTGAGTTGTCCATGGTGTAACTGATGTGTAGAACTGTTCAGCAAAATTAACTGAAAAGTTGCACAATCTAGAGCCTCTCCTTGCTAGTAATCTGACTTGGTAATCATTCTGCTTTTCATCCAACTCTGAGGACGATTTGGGTTTTGTTTCTCTCCTTGTCATTGTTTAGTAGACAATTGGTAAACTATTGCTGCATGTGGGACCTCCTAATTTGTCCAGACTAATTTCTTATTGATTATGTTGGAGTCTTCAATCATCAACTACTGGATACTTGTTATCTTTGATTATTTCCACACTTGGAGCTCTGTATCTCATCCTGTCTGAGTATTGATGATGAAAATATTGGGAAAGATCATGGTTTTCTAGACTCACTAATTGACTTATTTACTTTAATCCATGCGGGGTCATGTTTGGCAATTTATTTTTCCTTGTGTTTATGTAATGCAATGTGCTTTAGATCTGATGCATTTGTTTAATGGAGGAACTCAAATAAGACATTGCTTTCTATTTCAGTCGATTGGCATGGGATTTTGATACTTATTCGTGTTTTCATCTTTGTTCTTGCAGTGTGACATGCATCCTTCGATGGGCTACATACAGTAAGATGCCTACATGCCCTCAGTGTAAACATCCATTTGAGTTCCTCAATGTTCATCGTTCACTTGATGGCAGGTAATAATCTTGAATCCACCATTTACCCTCTCTTCTATTACATCACCCTCTCTCTTTTCAATTGAGAATGTAGTATTAGTTCCCTGGTTTGAGCTAATGGAAATGGTCATGTGGGCAATTGCAAGGGAAGGGAAGAGTTTTTGGTACCATAATGAGTTGAGTTATGTTAGGGTGTTATCAGCCATTGTACAAGCCATGGACATATTGTCTCTCCTGGCCTCTGCCTTAGTTGGTTTGTTCCTGGTGTCCTCTTAACCTTCTAGTTGACTGTTCATCCTTTGCTTTACCAGGATCAATGATTACATGTTTGAGGAAAGCGTGTGCCTGCTTCTTAGAGCTGCATGGTTTGAACCTTTGATTGTGGAGGATCGTGAAGAGGTGTATGATGATTTGGAAGATTATTATCCATATGAAGATGAGGATGATGATCAAGACGAAGCTTATTATGCCAGTTCACCAAGTCTCCGCATTGGTAATCGAAGATGGGGGGATAATGGATATGTCAGATCAGGGCGGCAAGAAGCTAGGCCTGTTCAACGATCAAATTTCCAAGACTCTGGTGCTGGGTCCTCACGAGAGCCTAAGAAGAAAGAGGTTGCAAAAAGTACAATGGGGCGACGGGCAAAGAGGGCACTTAAGCGTGAAGCTGCTGATAAGGCAGCGGCAGCAAAACATCAAGAGCATTTGATGAGGCTGGGGCGGAAGTGATTTCATAGATGTAAAGTGCCTAATAAACATTTTACCAAAAGATAAAGGTGCCCAATAAAGCCGAACCCCCGTCTGTCTTTGATCGTCACTTTTGTACAGTATTTCCGTGCTTTTTCTGAAACAAAATAATGCCATTGGCCCTTGGGCGGTGGAATTATGGGTTGCTAACTTCTTGGTGGGATCTCTTGTAGCTTCATATTTTCATTCCATTTAACTCCCAAATGACATTGCTAATCTTTCTTGTATAGCTAGCTTTTTAGCAAAGAAGAAAAAAAGACTTGCGTGTCTACTTACACAATGGAACTTGTAGATTGTGGATTTGGAAGAGGGCTAAATTGTTTAATATTAGTCTAAATTTTAGCTCGAATAGTTTTTAATTTAAAATTACAAAAAATTTTATATTAGGGTTCGTTTTAATTGTAAAACGTTTTTAGCTCTACATAATAGATGATCAATAAAATATTGGAAATCCTTATTTTTCAGTTTTCTATAAAACTAAAGAAGCATAATAGTTGTATGTCTACTACTTAACTAACTTTAAGGTCATTACTTCCTCATTTTCAATGAGTAGTATATTATTTTATATCGTTGAATATAAATATCAATAAAAAGTGAAAAATATTTTCTAAAATTAAACAGTACTGGAAGTGGATGCATTTGTTGGGCCTTCAAGCAAAGCAGATGCAGTTAATGCCTGATCAATGAAAAGGTGTCGTTTCAACCATTTATACAGCATGTATATACATATATATATGTAAATATATTATTGAATTAAATGTTCAAAATTTCATCGTCAAGGAATGAATAAAGTGGTTTTGATTGACGTTTTGTCTTTCTGTTTTGCGTCTTAACTTTCAGCTTTGTCGTTCGTCAATTTTTCCAGTCACCTAATCGAACAACCAAGCATTTACTTTCATATTCCATACAGGATTAGATAAAGGAACCAGGACTGAGGATTTGTCTAGTCCATGGTCATTGGTCATGGTCATCCTAGCATGCTTGAATACATTGACTTCCAATTTTTCTGTGGCCCTTAATTTGCGTATTGAGTAGGATATTTTGGGTTTCCAACAGAAAAATTTTTCTTTTTGACTGAACCCATGGTGATGCCAGGCTGTTGTCGAATTTATTGAACATGTTTCACGTGAAGGTGAAAGAAAATGAAACAATAATCAATTGTTGGTCCATCTATTAGTGTTGCCCGCATGGTGGTATCCACCGTCTCATTGAATGTAGAAAACGTGTCTTCATATGATGTTTTAGTTTTTGACCTAAGGTGACTTTTATTCTTATATATAATATAATGTGATTGTAGAAAATAATATTATAACGGTTTCATTTATAAACACTTTATTAAAAATTAAAAAATATGATACTAATTTCAATGATGACTCATCATTATCCTAAATGTTTTTGTTTCTTTCTAATTACTAATAAACTAATGTGTCATTTAAAAATTTACCTTTTTAGGGAATTTGTCTCGCTCCTGTTATGGGTAGAGGTAGAGTAGTAACAATTTATAAACTCTTCAAAACTAAGTAAGTTTCACATTCATTCTGTTCATCAATTTAGAATTTCTTTGCTTTCCCCTTTCTATATATTTGTGCAGAGAAGATACAGCTTCCTCACTTTGTCTAGGTGGTAAGATATGAAAAGGGGATTAGTTTTGCACATTTTCTCTGGTCTTTCAAATCATGGTTTCTCTTTTTTCCTCAACAAGTGTTGGTATGGTGAAACATCTCTTCTCTTAATGTCTGAAGAAAATGTAGTAAGAGTGTGGGATTGTCCTGTTGGAAAGAGAGAGGTGGGAATGGTGATAATGAAGATGGGGGGCCAAGTGGGACCTCCATTTTCCTGAGTGGAGGAAAAATTAGTCAGTGGAGGTGGAAGCTGCAATGTTAAGCAAAGAAAGCCCTCTCCCAAAAATCACTATCCCCCACCCACTCCAAAAAGAAGAAAAGAGCAGCATGTAAAAAGGGCAAAAAAAAAAAAAAAAACAACAACAACCATAACATCATCATCTTCATCAACAACATCTTTGATTTTCTTTTCTTCCCTCTTGATTTCCACCTACTACCATACCCACCCTACTCAACTTGCACAAATCAAGCTCCTCTATCTATCTCTCCATCCTTTTCTTCTCTTCTTTCTTTGCATGCTTGTCCTAGAATTCATGGACTGAGTTTCAAAATTTCCTCACCAACCATTGAAGCAAAAATGATTGAGAATCACAAACTGTAGCTTACGATGCATTGCTGCTAGTGAAGCTGATCTCTGAAGTCACTCTGTTTTCATTCTTTTTCCTCTTTACCTCTAAACTCTTTTTCTGCTCTCAAGATTTTTCCTTCAACTCGTGCATTGTTCTCCTGAAACCTGCTAAAGATCTTTGAGTCCAGAGGGGAAATAGAATTGGAATGAATAAAGTACATCCAATGTATCATTTTTGACCTGTTTGTTCTCTGCATCAACCTCTATTTTAGTTCTGTTCCGCTCTGTTCTTTCTTATTTGCCGGAGCTGTGTTGCCATCCAGGCTTGAAATCCCTGCGAGCAGAATCCTATTTCTAGTGATGGATTCTTTCAGTAGATCATCTGGATTCCGTTTTAACCCTAATTCAAACACCGTTGGTGATGCAGACCAAGATTCTGAGTTTTCGGGCATTCTTGAAATCTATGTTCACCATGCTAGGAATATTCATAATATATGTATCTATGACAACCAAGATGTTTATGCGAAATTCTCTCTCACCTATAACCCTGATGATACCCACTCGACTAGAATCATCAATGGAGGTGGAAAGAATCCGGATTTCAATGAAAACTTGATGATGAAAGTCACTCAAATTGATGCTGTCCTTAAATGTGAGATATGGATGCTTAGTAGGGCTAGAAACTACATGGAAGACCAGCTCTTGGGATTTGCTTTGGTTCCAATTTCACAGGTTGTTGGCAAAGGAAAAGTCACTCAAGATTACAGCCTCTCTTCCACTGATCTTTTCCATTCTCCTGCTGGTACTGTGAAATTGAGTCTCTCTTTGAACACTTGTATACCTGTCAATCCCCAGACCAATTCCTTTCCTGATACCACCCCGACCAATTCTTCAATATCAGCGGAAGTAGTATTACTTGATCGAAAAATCTCCGAAGTCATTTTAGACCCGGTTGAGTATTCGAGGATAGAGTTTCCTGATATCAATGTTGCTAGGGAGAACCAGCAAATGGTTTCTGAGTACTTTGATGGTCTGAATTCAAGGCCAGGAATTGCTTCATTTCTTCACCTTGGTGCCTCTCATCAGCATGTTGAAGATTACGAAATGACAGCAAATTCATCTGAGGAAAATCATGGTGGATCCATTTCTCCAAATGGAAGCCTTCAAAATTCTGGATTTCTCAGTTCTACTACCACAAGCCTAAGTGATGACAGGAACTCCGCTGACTCTACTGAGAAGAAGAGTCGTCTTGGCGGGGAGTCATCTAATTCCCTCAACGCATCGGTCACCACTGAGGCTAATCCAAGCTCAGGCGTTTGTCCAGATACCCCAACTTCAAAGAAAGGAGGTGAAGCTGGAGACGAGAAAGACTCGAATTATTCAAGCAAGGAAGAAGGGAGCAGCAACAAAGAAGGAAACATGAATCCTGTTAAGTATGGTCAGGTGTTTTCAGCTCCACTCGGAAACATCAATCTTGAGGCAGAACAGTCCGCAATGCAGCAACAAATAGTAGACATGTACATGAGGAGCATGCAGCAGTTCACTGAATCTTTGGCTAATATGAAGCTCCCGATGGATCTTGATCACAAACCCGGATGTGAAGATCGGGGCGATGTGATTCAAAACCACACCAAGAAAACAGAGCATGAGAAAAAGAAGGATGGGTCGCGGGTTTTTTATGGTAGCCGGGCATTCTTCTGAAGTTATAATCAAATCGCCATTGCTGCAACTGTTGGGAGTATCATCTTAACTTATCCAAACTCTGGGGTTTTTGACATCCATTTTTAATTCCTTTTAGTTCTGCCCTTAACAACTTCTCTTTGTTGACGAGCCTACTTCCCTCGGGAATTCAGTTGTAATCCTTGTATTGACTTCAATGAGAGATTTTAATTTATAATTGTAACATGGCAATGTGAATAACTGATCAAGGATCCTTCTGTTTTTATGATTAGAGCTTTAGAAGTTTTTCATCCCCAAGCATTCACAGCAAAATTTCCAGATATGCTAGCTATTGCTAATGTTCTGATTAATGACAACTTTCTAGCAACATTTTATTTTTTATAGTTTGTAGAATTTATATGAACAAAAATCTCCGACCTTCATTGTAATTTTGTATCAAGTGTCTACAAAACATTTCGTGTTAAAATTTACCGTTTAAAATTTAGGGTTTAAATGTTAGAGTTTTTATTTATAATTTTGTATCAAGTGTCTAATAAACATAACATTATAAAAAACAAAACAAAACCATACAAGGATAGAAGATTTTTGTTAAATTTCTTCGATAATTTTGTCCAAATATATATAAAAAATTAATAAAAAAATGTGATGTTAAACAAATATATTTGTAACCAATTTTTTCTGTAGAAGTGGTTTGTTTTGCTTTATTTTATTATAACAATGATGACATTGATTTAGTGGCTAATTGTTCAGACCTGTGTATTCCTTTGGCTTAGGATAGAATCAAACTGCTAGGGAACACCGACATCCCCTCTTGCATTATTTTCCTCAGGCTGACAGGATAGGGCACAGAGTGTATTCCATTGCATATATGGGTCCAGTTTATTACCGTAAAATCTCAATTACCTGTTGTATTGCTGAGGGAGGGATAAAATGAATACCTTTCCAGCACTTAATTTTCATAGGGAGAACTCCAAGCATGAAATGCTTTGTACTACGAAGGGCTCAATATGCCCAATTTAACTTAATTAAAATTAAACCAACTATAGATCTTGATAAACTCCCCATTATAGTAGTATCTTTAAATTAAAATTAAATGTCTAGTTTGATTTCCAATGGACTAATTAACAAGAATATATTGTGAAATTAGAGTTGGGAATTAAGTGATCAAATGAATTGACATGATCCATGCATGCAATTGAAATATCTTTGATATTTTGTGGGGGTGGGTTAGTTCTTCGTGAAAGGGAATGAATAATGAATTCCGTAAGTCATGATCAAGATGTTGAAAATTGCGGCCAAAAATACCCCACTAAAATTTTTCTGGTGGTGGGGGCGAACTCAACCAGTTTTTTCAACACCAAGTGGTGCACATCCTTGAAAATGTAAAACAAAAGCAAGGAGAAACCACCCCCTCTGCCTTTCATGTATGAATTTGGAATCCAATGAAGCAATTGAATCATCAACTGGACCAACAT